TTTAAAAGACGTGTAGATGAGGTGCTTAGGGACATGGTTTAGTGGGCGTGGGGGTGTTGGGTTGACGGTTGGACTCGGTGATCTTAGAGGTCTCTTCCAACCTTAATGATTCTATGATTCTATGTCTCGGTGAGTGTGTGATTAAAATGGAAACGTTCACTCTTGTGGCCTGCCTTATTGTCTGCCTCGACCCACAGCACTTCCCCCACTATTCCGGCACTTTGGGGGGTAGGGTCATAAAATGCAACCTTGCGGTGTGCAAGGATTTCATTCCAGTACATGTGACTGAGCTTAAGGTAATGGGGAATTCAACCTTAAGTGTTCATTTTATAATATGACTGTGATACAGAAAGGGGATGAGGAATGAATATAGAAAAGCAAGTCAGATCTTCAATATTTTTATCATTGTTCTTAGAATTCTGAAGTCTCCTCTCTTGATAGCATTAAACAAAAGCAAGCTCCTTTTTGCAAATGGCAATGCATTATCTTAAAGACGCTTCTAGGTCTTATTCTGCCTGTTGGCAAAGGGGTAACTACTTCTTTCCACTCAATGTCAGAAAGTCCAAACTTTTCAGGATTGTGCTGCTTTTTTCTTCCACAGTCTCTTATCCGTGCTGGACTGCTGCGTACAGATGTGACCTGCGCTGTATGCTCTCGGGCAGTAATGCCTCCTTAAGAGCTGGCCAGCTGGGGACGCAAACTGGTGTAGGTGGTGCAGCATTACCCCCAGACGAACATGACTGTTGTAAGAAGTGATTGCTTTTCAGTGTCCCAGCAGCATGAGTCTTCAGTTTGCTCTGATGCATGTTTTTGGTCTCGCCTTGAAGCTCTGTGCCTTGTGAAAGCTGCCACTTTGTCCCTATACTCTTATTATGACATTAATCCAGTATTTTGGTTTCTGTGGTTAGGGTCAGATGCAGCTGTCAGCTTTGACGTGCTGTAGTGTGTTGCTCTGCAGAGGCGGCACAGTCTGCCTCCGAAGGAGAGTCTTGTTTTCCTGTTTGAGCTCTCTGCGAGCGCTGTAGCCATCAGTCATCCAGCAAGTGCGTTGAATCTCAGGGCTTTGATCAAGGCCTGCAGTGAACTTGTGCGAAGCCAACAGCAGACCGTCCAGTCAGTGGGGCAGTGACAGGCACTGCGGCCTGCCACCGCCTGGAGGTAGAGGTGGAGAGGAGAAGAGAACTGGGGCTGGTTTGAAGGAAGCTGCAGAAAGCTCGTGTCCAGTGGAAGGGATGGTGAAGTTTCTTCAGGTCACTTGAAGTCTGAGCTGTCCTACCACTTGTCTGTGGTGGTATTAGCTGCCTGGCAAATAGAAGCTCCATGGACATGACTCTGTCTTGTTTATTTTTTTTTTTTTTAATGTTATGCAGTCAGACTTTAGGACTATTGCCAGAGGATGGGAAGTGCTTTCCCTCCCTTCCTGAAGCCCGTGTAGGAGCAGAGGATAGCTTTCCTGCTGTTTTTAATCTGCTCTGAAGTACAACCTGTCCTGAAACAACTCATCTGTTTCATAAGCAGAGAATACCATAGTGCCTGGAATGGGATAACGGTGGCCCTTCGCATTGTTGTTCTCCTGGTCCTACAGAAATCCACCTGATGCAAGGCTGCCCATAAACCAATTCTATGCTGCAGGGCCTCCCTTCTGCTTGCCCTGTGCCTCTGCTGGTGCTCCACATCCTGGAGCAAGCTGACAGGTCTGTAGGAAGCAGAATGCAGTCAAGAGCCAATGCAGAAGTCTGTGGGCCTTTCTGGGTCTTGCTTCTTATGCTTATTCCCTGGCATCTACATGAAGAAATTAGAAGCCCTCATTCTTTTGGGAAGTTGAAGATCTGCTGACTGTGGTAATAACGCTTTCCAGTCAGTAGCAGTAAGTTTTATTGGCAGACCTGGATGTGCCAAATCGGGCAGAGATACTGAGTAGACTGTTGGTTGATGGTATTTGTTGCTTGCATACCATCTCCTGGACTGTGTTTATGTGTCACTGCTGCCACAGCCCAAGATTTATCACTTCCAATGTAGCCCATAAGCAAGAGGAAAGTGGCTGCTCGTTCCTTATAATGTGCTAACTCTCTTGGTGCAGGACCTCACCGGCTGCATGACTGGAATCCCAAAGGTCTGTCCTAAAATGTGCTTTTGTCTGGCTGCGAAGCTGTGTCTGGGTTTGAGAAACATTTTGTGATATTGTGTGTCTGTGCAGAGAGGAGATTATACTGCAGTGAATGAGTACTTTCCTCTTCTTTCTTCCTTTTCTTCCTCCATCTGAGTTAATTGTTGTCTTTTGAATTGGAAACCTGCTTGAAATGTTCTGAGCTCGTCATTGGTAAGGTTCAGAAGGAGTAAAGAGGGGGAACAGGGCCAGGGAACAGAGAAACACAGTAGGATCTGAGATTTTTTTCTTTTTTTTTAATTTCCGCATGAGGTCAAAAGGCATATGAATATCTTCTAGCTATTTGCTTTAGATCTGTTTTCCAAACGGTTAGTATTGGTAGGTGCTCCCACAATTCAGATTAATGTTACTGTTGTCTTTTTTCTTGCTTCCGTTCAAATAGTTGTGTCAAGAGATAACCCTTGCATAGCATGACTGTTTTCCTTTCCCTCTTCAGAGGTTAGCCTGTTCAAGCCAAGCTGTGAACCAGAGTGAAATAATACCAAGAGATTTTACTGTTTGGAAAAGTTTCTTCCCTCTCTTGAGAACGGTGGGTTCTGTTTCCTGAGCTCAGCTAGCTTGGGAGCCCCTGCTTTAGCTAGAGGCTTTCCAGGTGCCGTTGGCCTCGGAGTTGGTTTCTGTAAAGCAAAATGGTGTTCGTTACTGGCTCCATGAGATGCTACTGGCAAAACAGGAGGCTGCAGTGTGCTGTGGTTCTGCTGCAGCGAGTCAGGGAGGTAGCATTAAAAAAAAAGATTGGAAGAGCTTAGCTTTCAGTTGGTGTTGAGTTTATCTTTCACTGTCAGATCCTCAGCTTTATTTTATGCTTCTGTTGTGTTGGAACAATTGACAGGTCCTAGCCCCGCTTAGTGATCTGTGTGCAGCAATTATCTTTGCTTGGCAGCTGCTCCTGGTCCTGTTTGAGAGGCAGTGTTCAGCAGCACGTGGTAGACATCTTCTGAGAGGTACAAAACAGGAACCTTCGCCATCGGAGGGAGGCCAACAAACAGGCAGTGGTACGCTGTTCTTCAGGAGAGTAACAAAACCAGTTTTGAGGACTTGAGTCCATACAGCTCCTCTCCTGTAGGCAGTAGGAGCCTTGTCAGCCACGCGGTGCTCAGCACATGGGCGTAACAGTGGAGCTACCTTCATCTCCCAAGTCTTCCTCCTGCATCTCCCAGCCTTCCTAGAGAAGAGGGTTTCTGTGAGATGGAAGCCATTCTTTGCTGGTTTTACCCCAGTGTCTATTACAACACTGGTCCCACACAGATTGGTGAGAACACTGCCTTGCTGAGAGTTTGGGAGTGTTGTGTAATTAAACTTCAACTTTTTTCCCTTCCTAAACATCTTTCTAAACTTGGTGGCAGGCTAGGCGCTGGGGTAGAGAGCAGAGGAGGATTTCTCTAAGGAAGTTTCCTCTCGCAGACTTTTTAAGCTGTGGTAGGAGGATGACTAACTGTGGGTACAACCAGACGTTTCCCTTTGGACACACCTAGACATACACTTTCCAAGAAGAGGATCATGCCACCTTGCAGTATGGGTGGAGAGAAAATTTAAAGGGAGACAGGACTGCTGGGTCTTGATGTTCATAACGCCATCCCTCCTAGTGTCCCAGTGAGGAATTTTAACACAGCATTGTCCTGGGATGATTTATGCTCAATGAAGTTTCTTCATTTCTCTGTCCTCCGTCAGCAAATGCACGTTATTTGTAGACAGTAGAGGCTGTTGCCTATTTTTACACTCAATTAAATTGTAACTTCATTGCTGGGGCCTCTGTTGCAAGAACGACGAGTCAGGCAGTGATCCAGGCTGATTAATTATTGGCTTAATGTCTTTGGCAGAGGCCTTTTGGTGCTGTTGTGGAGCACAGTCAGGGTACTGCTGCACTTTGTGATGAGAGGAAAAGTTAGGGGGTTGCCTCTCTGCCGTTCCCTTTGTCGAGCTTGTTTAGTGACAGGATTAGCCTTGGCTGCACAGACTGGTACATGTGAGTAAGATGTCCAGAGTAAATTATCTGTAGCGCTTCTTGGACATAAGCCTCTGCAGAAATACAACAAACTGTAATGTTATTCTTGTTACTGATGTGGACATGAGTGGGTTGGGCATTTTGTTTCTTTTCAGAGAGGGTGGTAGTCTGCAAAATTTGGCTTGCAGTATTTTTTCCTTGTTTTGTTAATGAACAAATCATAAATACCGTGGAAGGATAAAAATGGAAAAGAAATAGTTTCTGCTGCTGAATCAGCTTGAGAGAAGTCCGTCAGCCCGTTTGAGAAACCAGAAGTCTCCACAGACAGTTGTATCCATTGTAATCACAGTGAGCTACTGGCTGAAGGCTTTTTCCAAACGAGAACTTGTTTCCGGGGCCCTTCCTGAAATAAATGTTTAGTTTTGGTGGCAAAATTCCTACAAATCTTTCTGGTAAGCGGGTCTTGAAATGCTGAAGTTGCAAATGTGGAAGTTGTCAACCCTGCTACAGGCGTCTGCGATCTGAAAATACACTTGCTAAATGTTCTGCGGTGGGTGTGCGTGCAGCAGGGCGGAGAGTGCTTCCCAGTAAGGCTTGAGTGTTCAGAGAGTGCTGTTGCTGGTGGATGGTTGGGGGAGCCACCTACTTCTCTCCTAGAAGCCTTTCAGGCATTGCTCTCTGGTCTCTTCACCCTGTGTTGGTGGGATAAAACCACCAACCACCAAGGTCCCTTTGTTGCTGGGGGAGTCAAGCAGAGCATCTCCCTTGCCTGTGTCGGTCCTTATTTAACCCTAGTCACTGTACACACTGGCTGCCAAAAATCAATGACTTGATGATGTTTGTTTGCAGTCTTTAAATAACATACAGTGGAAAAACAACCAAACTGTACAGTGTACACTACCTACTGGCTAATAACTTACTACAAATATCTTTTGGACTTAGTTTGGGTAAGCTAAACCTCCTCTTCATTTTCTGTATAAGTAATAGTATATTAAGCTTCCCCAAACCCTGCTGGCACTATACATATTAATGTGTAGAGTTACTGAGCTGCAACGATCACAGCATGTTTCAACAACAAGTGTCTATGAAAAAAATGTTGCCGTGGCAGTGATGAACTCTGTGTGGGCTGCAAAAAACACTTCAGACACTTTCTCCATGCCCAGCTGTTGCCCTGTAGCAAGCTCCCTGGCCTGCAGCCCCGCAGTCGTTCCCTGAGCAGCTGCACCATACTTCTGGTGTGTCCTCGCGTCTTCTGGTACATCCGTGGCTGGAGCTCCCAGAGCAGTGAAAGGCCTGGGTGTCTTTCATAAACCTTGACTTTCCTCTGTTCCTGTTAAGGACAGCAGGAGCTGGTGGGCTTTGAACGCTTCTGAAAATTTTCCCCCAGCGCTTTGTCACTTGCAAAGCTTGTGACCATGCCCGGGGTTTTCTTCTTGCACTGCTTCCCTGGGCTAGCGCTTCTAACCACAGGCTGGATTCCCACTTCATCTGAAGCGTGTGTGAAAGTGGATGACTTAACGTGTGCTGCTTTTAAATGCAGAGATTGGAAAACAAGGCCTGTTTAAAGCAGTACTTGTCATGCAAGGAAATGCAACAAACGCCTTCTTGAAGTATCACAGAAAATTGCTTTTTGGACAAACAAGGAGACCTTCAAAAAGCTCAGCTGGGCTTGTTTAGCCTGGAGAAAAGGAGGCTGAGGGGAGACCTCATCGCTCTCTACAGCCACCTGAAAGGAGGTTGTAGCGAGGGGGAGGTCGGTCTCTTCTCCCAAGTAACTGGCGAAAGGACGAGAGGAAATGGCCTCAAGTTGCGCCAGGGGAGGTTTAGATTGGATGTGAGGAAAAATTTCTTTACTGAAAGAGTGGTTAAACATTGGCACAGGCTGCCCAGGGAAGTGGTTGAGTCACCATCCCTGGAAGTATTTAAAAGACGTGTAGATGAGGCGCTTAGGGACATGGTTTAGTGGGCGTGGGGGTGTTGGGTTGACGGTTGGACTCGATGATCTTAGAGGTCTCTTCCAACCTTAATGATTCTATGATTCTGTGGTGGTGAGAACAGCTGTAAGAGCCGGGGACGGCCAGCCCCAGGTCTGGGGAACGCTCGAACCAGGGGAGCCATGTGAGCTGAGGCTGCTGGACTGCCCAGCGCCTCGTGCCCCTCCGGGAGAAGGTGGCCCTTGCTGCATGCAGCTGTAGCTTGAGTCTCTCAAATGGCAGGTAGTTCAGCTTCCTCCCCTCTCCCCCCACATCTTCCAACCAGTCTTCCAGCAAGCATCTGGAAACTTAGATTTCACGTTGTGAGGTTAAAAGAGGATTGCAAGAGAAATGATGGGAGGTGCTGAGGACTCGAGGTGTTGACAAAGGCAGTCAATTTGGTACAGGCTTGACGGGAAGTAGAGTCCTGTGGGCAGACCAAGATGAAAGGGGCTGAGAGCAGACAGTGGAGACTGCTTGGAAACTAAAAGGCTGGTAGGCTGGATGCTGGGGCTTTTTGAAATTGTAGTCAGGCTCGGAAGAGGAATCAGGCAGGCAGGTGTCTAAACAGCCTGTAAGTAAAGGCATGCTGCCCTGGAGCTATGGAAATGGAGTGAAGTCTCTTGCTCTGCCACTGCTTTCAGAGCTTCTCCATTCACCCAGGTAACTGCTGCCTGCACTGGTCCAGGACTGAGCCTTGAGTTTAGGAGTGACTTCTAGCATACAGGCTTTTATGTAGTAGGTCTGCTTCTGTCTGACTTCTGTTTCAAGAAGAGGATTGAGAGTCGTTCACCCTTCAGTGTCTACCCAGGGTTGAAACGTCTGGCTGTTTTCACGTTTGTTCTCCGCTTGTGGTTTGGCAGCTCTGCTAAACAAGTGCCAGGCAGTCGCTGGTGTCAGCGTGTGTGTTGCACAGCCACTAAAGTTCCTAACGTGGCTCCGTGGTGCTGTATGTTTGTGGGGCACTTCTCAGCAGTATCCTGTGCTTGCACCGTGGATATACCGCCATGTAGATGCCTCCTAAGGCCAGGGAGCCAGTGGAGAAGATCAGCTAAGGCTGGAGGTAAATGCTGAAGACTGTAAGAAGCATCACAGTGCAGCACCTGTAGCAAACTTAGGAAGGTGAGCATTTGGCCTGGACTTCGCTGGTGTTGACCCCCATGATAATCCAGAAAGCTTTAGCTGCCCGATAATGACACTCTGTTAATGCATGTACAGAAACTCGTTGGCCAATGTTGTGTTTTTGACCTGAGATCTTTCCTTTTTGCCCTCAAATCAAAGGTGAATCTCTTAGGCACTTTTCAGCTGTGGGGTTGAATTGCAGGTGCCGAAGTTGTGTTCCTCTTATCTCTCTGTTCAGGCTAGCGCTGTTCATGTGGGCATAGCTGCTATAAAGGGCCAAGCTGAATGTGGAAATGATTAAGGCTCTAAGATAGTAGTGTGCCAGCATCTATCTGTGTTGCATGCTGCTGTTAATCTCTAGAGCCTGAAAGGAACATGAAGACCCAAGCCGCAATACAGGAGATCTGCTTGGTTAAACAGATGCACACTCAGAAAGGAATAGCATGCTTAAATACCTGGCGTATTTAAAATACCAGCACCGTCTTCCAGGAATTAACCTATAATGAAGTTTTACCCTCTCTTCAGTCTGAATCATAACAGAGCACAGTTTACCTGTTTAAAAGGAAATGCGGCAGTTGTAGTGTGTGTGAAACATTTCAATGCATAAATCTCATTTTTCCATTTTCTATTTCCCCAGGAACTGGCAAACTCTGTCTACTTGGTTATGGAGGTGAGTGTGTGTCTCTCTTTCTTTTTTTCCTTCTTTCCCTTCCTTTTTCTCTCTTTTTCCCTTTATTTTCTTTTTTTTTTTAAACTTATTTTAAGCAGACCAGCTTGTTATACAACTAGTGCTTTCTGCTCACAGTCTCACCCGTGATGCTTTTGCTAGTCTAATCTGCAGCTGCATGCCAGTGTGGGTGAAGATAGCAGCCAGAGGGATTTTTCATACTGCTGCTGTCAGAAGGTCGTGCTGGCACAGGTTTAATCAGTCAGACATCTTACCTCAAGGGTCAAACGGGTGTTACTGGGTAGTATCCGCTTCAAAGATACACGGAAAGAGAATTTTCTCCACACAGCCTAGCTACAAAGCTTTTGAACATTTTCTTTCCTCTGCAGTCTTCACTCTGAGGTCTTGTTGACTTTCCTTAATGGTATGGAACATGATGTGGGGAATTTCAGTTTTCAGCTGTGGCTGGTCCCAGGCTTTCCTCAACCACCTTTCTGGTGGTATCTCCATGGTGACCCTTCTGCTTTGTTCTGGTTTTATCTCTTTCTCTGATGTGCAGGTACACGGGTGTGCACATGCACAAAAGCTAGTTAATGCTGGTGTATTGTAATGCAATATAACGTGTAGGGGAATTGGGACAGAAGAAGAACCTACAGGAATGGGGTTTTCCTTGCCAACTTCTGAATACTTATTTTGACACGTGTGATTACTTACGTTTAAATACTATGATAAGCCTGCTATCCTAGTGAAGCTTACTGTTTTTGTTTTTAATCTTTGATTTGCCTTGCATTAACTGAGCTTTCTGTTCTGTTTGCAGTACTGTAATGGTGGTGACCTGGCAGACTATCTTCACAGTAAGTAGAACAATATGGAGAATATCCTCTGTATTCAGAAGAAAACACTGACTGTTTTAGCTCATTAAAGTTGCTGGGGTTTGTGGAAGATCTAAGTAAGCAGTTTGTGTATTTTTTTTTTTAATTCCTGCAAAATAAACAGAGTATCACTGCTCCTCTTCTAAGAGGTTCACCCCCTGATAATCATTTGAAAACTAAGAATCCACGACAATAAAAGCTAGTCTTGTAGTCTTTCCTATGTAGGTCAGTGGTGACTGTTGTCAGTAGTTATGTAGTTTAGTTACAGTGACCTTATAGATTAAACATATTTTAACACTGCTAGGGACGTGGTTTGTCTTTTTCTTGGTCACTGGAAAAAAGCTATTTATACTGAAGCCTTGCAGTTCTGTAGGGTTGGATTAAAATAAGATCCCAAGAGTGTATTTCGCTTTCTTTAAGTTTACCCTTGAGGGTGTCCCCACATCTAGGACAGGAACACATTTCTTACTGCAGTGTATTGACGGTGACTGTAGCGTAGCTAGTAGTGTTGTGAGGGTGATGAAAACTACTAACTTCAGGGTCTTTTGGAGAATATAGCACGGTTACCTGCGACGGTGGTGCCTTGAAGAACCTTTTGGTGAGACTGAAGTGTGTCTTTGCCATTAAACCGAATGAAACACGCTTTGCGTGTTATCCGGCTGTGTTGCTGGGACTTGGGCTTCAATCTCCCAAGCTGTTTTTCAGTGCAGCCCACTGCACAGGTACAGGATCCTGGCCTATGTGAAAATCACGTTGCACTTAAGTACCTAAGCGGTAGGAGGATAACATGTTGAACAAATTGCTTAGCTGCAGTCAGACACAGACCTTATTTTCTGTTGGCCTGACTGGTGTGTTTTTTTGGGTGGGTTTTTTTTTTCTTTAAAGCAGCTTTCTTGTTGTTTTGCACGTTAACTAGAAGATTACTGAATGTGAAGAGACAACTTTAATCTCATTTCTGCTGTGGCTCTGGGTCATGATTAAACAAAGTTTCTTCACATTGTGCAAATTAAAAGCTAGTCAGCTGGATAATACTTCAGGCTCCTTATTTGAGGTACATGGTGCCTGGAAATGGCAAAAATTGAAGGATTAAAAGCTAAATTTACATTTGCCCTACAGATAGTGTTGGCATCCCTAAATGATTATTTGGGGCTTGATGCTAGTGTGTTGCACTCTATTCATACAGGGTAATGAATTAAGTTTGTGGACTTTAGTTTTCAGAAAGGATTTAGTACTTGAAGGCAAATGAAGGAATATTCTAACTTTCATGTGTTTTGTCTAAAATGTGGGTGAGATAGCAGTGACAGGCATTTGTTTATTAAAATCCAGGTTTAGTGTGCTTTGTCTTAGATAAGTGATGGTGGTTTTGCATCTGTTGTACTGCTGTGCTTTAAAAGGAGCATCTTTGGTGGTGGTGAAATGCTGTTATGAATACCAAGTGAAAATGGTTTTGTATTTGATACCTTCTTTTTCTCCTTGAATACAAGCAAAAATTTTAACAATGAAATGCTTTTAAAAAACAGTCAAACTTCAGTTTTACCAATGCATGGGCTTTGAAAGCTAAAGTTTTCAGCTTTCATGCACATGAAATGAACCCTGATGTTAAAGCACTGGGCTGTGAGCTCTTGTTGGCAAAGCTGCGTATGTAAACAAGAACACAGCTTCTGGCCGAATGATTTATAGAAACATGGGTTTATAGAAAATCTTCCTGTTCATACTAGTGCTTCTGTGTGTCCATTGTCATCTTCTCCCTTCCACCACCCTGCCAAAAAAAAAAGTGAAGCATACTGTGCAATTAGCTAGGCTATTAATACAGCTTGCTTCCTTGTTTATCAAATGAGACTGCTCAGGAAATTGGTGGCTAGTTTGAGAAAGTGACAATGAATTGTATTTTCCAAATAAAATTCAGTTTTACCCCAGTTTGGTTTGTTTGAGTGTTGCCTGGGGTAGGGTTTGATCCTTCTTTGCCTGAGTTAATTTGAAAAAGTTACCTTTAGCTCTGTTTTCACCAATAAAATATTTTACCGTGACAACTGTAAAGAGCAGCTGTTGTGACTGGGAAATTGGTGCTTACTTTTATTTTAACTCTTAACATCTGTGTGCCAGTTGCCAGTAAAGAAAACCCAGCAGGTACAGATTTCCAGAGGGAGCAGTCAGTAAGGGACTGCAGCAAGAAAGTTAGTTACTCCCATCACTGCGGCAAAGATCTGGGTCTTCCAGATCCCAGAGCCTAGATACAAGTGTCAGCTTTTGCATCACATGGCTTTTTCCATTCCACCACATTGCCCTTTGGGGCATCTCCTCTCCCAGTTTCTGCAGGTGCTCAGGGTGCTTTTGACGATAATGACTTTTTTTCCTGAAAGCTCATCTTGGAAAGTTCAGATTTCTTCCAGGGCATTTCACTGGTACGCAGGAGGCTCATCTCTATTGAGCGGTTATTGTGCTGCTTCAGTTATTTTAATAATTGCGTGATGGTATTTAATTGCAACGTCTACTTTCCCACTGACTCCTCAGATATGTTTGCTGGTAGTTCCTGTAACACTTATGCATGCTGTGCATGCAAATCCCCTGTTTCTCATTGAACGAGATGCTTGTAAGCTTCCCGATCCATTCTGCCCTCTAATTACAAGCATTAGGCAATAAGGTAATTCTGTGTTGAATCCAAAGGCACTCTAATTCTCCTTGTCTTCATAACTGGAAGACGTGAGTATGTGCACGTTTCAATGCAATACGCATTTCGGCTGGGTTATGCTGTTGGTCAGCCCCATCTCTTTGATACAACCAAAGGTTGTGCGTGTTCTGCTAAGCACAACTTCTATGTTGTTGTTGTTCTTTAATGGTACAATGCAATTTTCCTTCTGATAGACCTCTGTGGATGTTGCTTTCATTTAAAGACCACCATAGGGTATGTTCTGAGCTGAGAGTGGCAGATTGCCGCTGTGCGTGGTAGAGCTGTGGGAAGCATTACAAAAGTGACCGTCCTCTGTATGAGAATAACTGGAATTCTGTGGCCTCGGGTACTCAGGAGGTCAGAGCAGGCTGATCTAAAATTTCTTCTTAAATTCTGTGAGTTGGCATTGACACAGGTTGTTACGGACAGTTCGTAAGTGCATATTCATGACCTTCCTTAAAGCTGCTGCTTGAAGAGCACATCTCTGTAAAGAAAACTTCAAGTCAGAGCAGGACGTTTCTTGGTTTGACCACGACACGTGCAAGGAGCTGTGACCTTCTAATTCATCCCAAGTGGTCTGGGGACCCCTTTGTAAACAAGAGGTGTGAGGCACTGCTGTGTAACTTTTCACCCTCTGCAGCTAAATAATTAAGAATATCTGTGATAAGACTAGACCTATCTGGAATAAGTCTTCTGACTTGTAGATGAGTCTAAACAGGAGTCTCACTGGCCACGCTCTGTGTGGGTGGAGTTGGGGGAGTTGCAAGATGGGCCCCAAATAAATCAGCTTGATCTCTGAGACTTCAGCATGATTTGGATTGGGCTCATGTTAGAGAGATACTTGTGGCATCTCTGGGTAACAGGAGAAGTTCTTTTTCCTAAATAACTTTTCCAAAATGGTGTTATCATGTAACATCAGCAGGTGTACTCCAGTGCATCTACCCTTGGATCAGCTGACAAGGGCTGTTTACTACAGTTTACCTGGCAGCCTCTTGGCAGGTTGAACACCTCAGCACAGGCTGACCAGGGTACTTTTTAGGTGGTTTCACCCCTTTCCTATGTCCCAAGAGCTACGAGGCACGCAGGGCCCGCACTGACCTGCAGTAGATATTTGCTCTGATCTACTGACCTGTGTAGCCAGCGTTCCCAAGGCAGTAAGCTGAGTGCCTCGTCACTGAAGTGGAGCCCATGAAAATAAACACAGGGATACTATTACTTCTCAGTAATGGCAAAGTAAGGCTTGTGAAACAGCGTTCTCTGGAAGAACGTGTTGCTCACCACAGACATCCACAGGGATGCCCAGAGTTCAGTGTGGGATTATTGTTTTGCCAGCAGTTTTCTGGTAAAGATGAGAATGTCCCCTTTTTACGGGGACATAAGTAAAAGTTCCCTGTTTGGGATGTAGCAAAGGGAGTTGTTTTGTTCTCCACACTATTTTTTTTTGGTGACACATAAATTGAATGAGTTTTCTGTATCTTCTCCCTCCCTCTGTTGATGGTAGCTGGTCTAGAAAATCTTTTGTGGACCAACAACCTGAAGTTGCTGAAAGTGTCAGTTGTATTTATGTCTCTGTCCTTCAGTTGGAGATTGCTGCTGTCACTCGGTAGGCTGATGAGCTGAGTATGAGAGATAAGGACTCTTGGTTTTCTGTGTTATGGCATGTCTGTTAATGGAGGGAGGTAAAAGGGTATGCCCCTACACTCCCCAAGTAACTGACGGTCCCTTCTCTGACGGCAGCATTTCAATTTCACAGGCCTGCCTTGCTGCATTACCTGCATTCGTGATATTTAATGCTGCCAGAGGATCCAACAGACCTCTGTCTAATTTTGCTGCGCTGCATTGTGGTAGCTCCATTATGCCACAGCAGATGCACTGAGGGAATGTGTCTGCAGGCTCAAGACACCAGCTTAGATTCTGCGCATGTCTGGAAAACAGCGCCTTTGCAGGGCTGAGAGCTTTGTACAAACTTCTGTGAAGTGGAAAACTTAAATTCTGCAGAAATTAGTAGCTTAGAGGCCTGTTTTCTTTGGGTGAATGGATTTTTCTGATCTTGTTAGCAGTGGTTTGTTTTTTTTTTTCAGTATAAAGAGATAGGATTCACATTAGGGAGGCTTAACTGGTTTGCTTGAGGGATGGTGGCTAGCACTGTGTTAGCCTTATAGCCACTAAATTATATAAAGGAGAGGGTAACGCCTTAAAGATGTGGCATGCTGTTGGAACTGCAGGTCAGAACAAGGCTCTCAACACCATTTCTTTGCTAGCGGCAGAGTGTATTTAGCCAGGAGTTTGTAATTGCCTGCCAGCTTAATAATGTTAAGAACTGCCAAGTTTCAAGTCTTGCTTTGTGTTTGGGGGAAGATGAGACAGCCTGTCCTTTCCTGGGCCTGAGCTGAATTGGGCAAAAAACTTCGGAATTCTTGCTGGTTTGTTGAAAGATGGTGTTTTAACCATTCCTAAATAGATTTCCTTCAATAGAAATCACAGAAATATTGCAGAGATGTTTTGTTGGAGAGAAGGTTGAGCACAGCTAAGATACTGGACCTTTAATAGACAGAAAATGGTACAGGATTGAGTACAGTGATATACTTC